AGGCCTGTGGTAAAGCTGAGGAGCATGCCGGGGAGCATGTGATAGAGCAAAGGTGCTCAGCTTATGGTGGCCAGAGAAAGAGGGAGACAGGGGAGAAGGGTCAGGGTCCCAGTATACTCTTCAGCAGCAGGTCCACAATGACTTCCTCCAACTAGCTGCCCTCCCATAAAGGTTGCCTCACCTCCCAGTCCTGCCACAGGCTGGTGACCAAGCCGTTAGCACATGGCCTTTGCGAGATATTTCAGATCCAAACCAAAACATGATGCCCACCACTGAGCCACCTCTCTGTGTTTCACATGTGACAAAACTAACTTGTATACTTTAGTGTTTCACTTAACAAATTCATAGCCAGCATTTGCTTTAGATTTTTTAAATGGTTAAAAATAAGGAAATAAAATCCATTCAGAACCCCAGACTTGCCATGGATGTTTATTTAGTTTAAAATGCATGTTCAAACAAACCTGTTCTAGCTTTATCACTAATACTGCTAGAAGCTATTGTACATTTTTTTTTTCTTTTCTTTCTCAACAGTTACAAATTCCTTAGTTTTCATGAACATGTATCTGCTAATCCCCTCAAAGATTTCTCCTCTACAAATTAATCAATAAGTGAATAAATTTATTACTTATGAATGTTATTACTTAATAACGAATGGTTTATTTCCATATTAGCCTGTACCTATTCTCTTAAATTGAGGAATCATAAATGTTAGTTAATTTAAATATATTTTTAGTGTTTACTGAAATAAGTCATATTCACTTTCCCAATATTTTGAATAGAATTGGGTAATTATATTGTGCATAAATTATATGCATACTTTTTGCATATTAGTTTTACATTTGAAAAGAAACTCAGTTGAAGTTTGCCATTCAACTCCATGTGAGTAGTACTGGTTTAAACCAACACCCTTGTAGTCCAAGACTATGAGTGGAATCATACATTTCCTTCATCTTTTCTATTATTCTCAATATAAAGTATGTAGACATATTTTCAAAAGAAAAAAAATTGAAAACCATGTAACCACTTATCATTTAAATTCCCTACTACATATCTGCTCACAAACAAAACCTCTATTCTAGTCTTCTCTCCATTTCAACACATTTTATACTCTGATGCTTGATAATTCTTCAGGTACCTTCAATTCTGCTTTTTTTAAAAAAAATGACATACAAACTTTTGTACCTGTCTTTGAGTATATCAATGAGTGCTCACCTTCCTCTTTACGGATCATCTATTTAAGTCAGATTGTGCTCTCTCTTCCATACCCCTCCCATGTTCTCACCTCTTGGATGTGAGCTCCTGTGGGTGCAGAGACCTCTCCCATCTTTGCACTCCTATTGCATCAGGCAGGGTAATGATCCAGTACAGCCCGCCATACCTTCAGCCCCTCTGTAGGCCTTCTCTGCCCTCTGGTAACAGCATTTTCTATGCTCCCTGTCTTTCTGCTTTGTACCCATTTCAAGCCTGTTCACTTTTATTGGGTTAGAACTTTCTTGACAATTCTCCATGCACCTATCTTTTCTTTTACCTTTCTTTCTCTTTCTTTTCTTTTTCTTTCTCTCTCTCTTTCTTCTTTTTTCTTTTAATTTTGGTACTGAAGATTTAACCCAGGGGTGCTTTACCACTAAGAGACATCCCCAGCCCTTCTTGTGTTTATTTTGAGTCTCCTTGCTTTTTCTGATCTCTTTGGAAATATTTGCCACCCAGTATTATTTGAGAAATGATTTTCCCCTTTTCATTTTCCATGTCTAACTTCTACCAATGCCCACAAGCAAGAGAGACCAGACCTTTGGTGTATGTTTGTATGTTTTGGTAATATTTGAGAATAATAAACAACTACTCTGTTACTGTTGATATCTATAAATAAGATAAGCACACATTTATTTCCTAATTATTGGAAAGATTATAATTTAAGGTTTAAAACTATTTTCTCTTGATTTTTTAAACCAGTAAACACATTTGATGTTAATATTTCTAATGAATAACCTGTAACTTTCCTAGCTTGTTTTGCATTTGTGATTCTGAATAAACTTGAACTTTCCATTTGGGCTATATATTGGGTATTTGCTTTTTTATCAACATGTTTGCATGTTGCATGTTTCAGTATTAATTCCCAGTTTCATATAGCTATCTTATCACTTAGTTATCTATTCTCCTATCAGCGGATATTAATATAAAGTTGAAGATGTAAAAAAAATATTGCACCTTTTCCAATATTGAATATAGAAGTCCCCCAAATTGCTATTCGTACAAAATTGGTAAAAATATGAAATTTCCACATAGCAATTCCTTTAAGTTATTTAACCTATTTTGTTAGTGTGCACATTTTTATTAAAACCCAAATAAAATAATTTTAGTCTCTTAGAAAATGATATGATAAATAGAAAGAAGATAATCTTATTTTAAGAACAGTAAATTACTTTAGAGAACTTTTTTTTAACCTCTTTCACACCCCAGACACAAACACCATCAGATTTAGACACAACAGAGCTTCTAGAGAAAAGGATTAAAAATAAAATGACAGGTGAGCTTTTTAATTAATTTAAAGGTGTCAGACAACATTTGCCAATGTAATATAACAATGGCTCAAGTTGTACAGGTCAACAAGTAAATAAAAATGTTGTTATAGAATAAAATAACAAAATTCAAGAATAAATGCAAAGAAAACTACTTTTTTATTTTCTGCATGGGCTGAACTTTGGAAATACCCACCATGACCCAATTCTTTGGTATATTGAGAGAGAACAAATAAGAAGAGCTGATTCTTTGGGCAAATAGAAGATGAAGGAATTGGATACAGCTGCTCTCCTCCCTAGTGGTCAATATTAGCACACAGGGAAAATCCCAACAGCAGAGTTTCATTATGTATAAAACATTAATGGAGGAAGAATGAACATGTGGAATATTTCATGAGTATTAGAGTGAAAATTTTTATAAATAATGCTAGAAATATTAGTACATGAGTCAAAAGAGGAACTTAATTATTTCATTGAATTCATACTATAAGGTATATGTTCACATTTTCCACATTGTAGTATGCAGTTTAATCCTTTGATTCAAAATTTTGGTTTTCCCACAATAAATGAAGACGTCTCTTATTTTCCTGAAAAGTCACCAAAATATATAGATGATAATATTTCATAAGTATTTCTGTAGAGAAATGCTTCATTGCTACTAGACTGTAAGTGTGCCAGGGGCAGGGGTTTGGGTGGTCTATATTGCTGTGTCCTTGGGGTTTGGGGCAGTGCATGGCTCCTAGTGACCTCCAGCATGAAGAAAGGAACTGTCACACAAAGGTGGAAATGTGGAACCTTAGTGCACACAACCCTGGCTTTCCAGTCACTGTCAATACAGAGAGGGCAAGACTGTTCCTGTGGAGCAAACACATCCTACCCATGCTTGCTGTCATTGTTGGAAGAGGAAGCACTGCTGAGCATCCCAGAAAGACTCCACAGAGAGATCTCAGGTACCTTCTAATGCCCCTTTCCCAGGTGTTGGGAAAACCAACAGTGGACATTTGGCAGAGTGCCATGAGGGAAAGGAAAGCCTTCTCTCTGCAGAAGTCAAAAGACACAGCACTAAATGGCAACTCTGAAAAAGTCTATCACCAAACAAAACATCAGTAGATGACAAATAAAGGACTTAAAGCAAGAATTCATGCTTCAGTGCAGAACATATCAGGGGAAGCAGACTGAGAAAAATCGCACAGACCAGCTAGGACCATAAAAGAACAGTCTTAGATCACAATAAGTATTAGCAAGACCAGTAATGTAGGGATGGTTAGTGGAAAATGATTATCAGAATTCTTCCATTAAACTATTTATAACATTTATTTATATTTAGACCTAATATAGTATAAATTAAGTGATAAAGAGAATTCGTCCAAAATTCGGATTCAGGTATTAGAAAATCATTTCATTGTAATCGTCACATGGTTGCAGATAACATGAACATGTACATAAAAGCATGATGATAGAAGCATTTATTTTGACGTTAGAGCCAAGTTTACCATGACTAGTGTGGATAAGAATGGGCAAGGAATATTCTAAACAGAAACCTGTCTACAGAGAAATAAATTCTGAGTAAGTGTGTGTGTAGTTTGTTACACTTCTTTTACCCAGGCTTCAACTCATTATGCTACTGTGATAAAATGCAAATTTGGCATACTGATTGGAATAACATCTTATATAATTTAAATTCAAATGTTATGAAATCATGTTAACTTTTTATTACCTAATTTTTTTAAAGAATGGTTTAAAGACTCCCACGATGTAGTATATGTAAATGTAAATTCATTTGCAAGGGCATTAACCTCAATATACGAAGCATCCTGATAGAGTCTCTGTAGGGTATATTGTTATTGCTAAATTAATACAGCCAGAATTCTAGTGCTGACAAAGCAGATGTTTTACATGCAAATATTTATCTTTTGTTGTTTTTATGCATATTGCTTACCCCAAATTCAGATTTGATGAATATCCATGTGAGATTTCTAATTAGTTCACCAGTAGAAATTGGAAAGAATTGAAGGTAATGACACTATAAACCAACTCCAATCCCCTTATGAGCATATATATGTATATTTAATTGCTAGTTTGTTTGGAATCATTGCTGAAAATATTTTGGAATAATGAATAATACCCCTGCTTCCACAATCACCTAAGGATAAATATTCAAATTTGGCTGTCTTGGAATTTAATGATTGCTAAATAACTCTTTTATGATATAGTTTCAATGCACGTTTAATTTGATTAATAAATATTTATATATGATCCGAAGCATTATTCTTTTAACAGCTTTCTTCAGCCCACCAAACATGCTTTTTAAACTTCTAAAGCCCAAGGAAAGATACTTGTTTTTCACAGAATCTCCTGGGTCATGTCTCTCCATGAAGGAGAAACTCCTCCCACCCCCATTTGCCAAGCACACTAGACATGGAAACATAATATAAAAAAAGAAAGTTGCAGTGGCTACATCAGAAAAGAAAAATGGAGCAGTGAAATACAGAACAGATTCCAGAATGAAAACGCCCTCCACATCTTACGGAAAAAAGGAGAATTCCTTAAGAGAGGGTGAATTGAATGTGCAAGTAAAATGTGGTAAATTCAGAGCCCTGCCTGTAGCACACATTTAAAATAAAAGCAAACGATGGAGGAAGAGGACATGAAAACCAAGTCTCCAAGCAGCAGGAAGAGAATATAGGGACAGCCTATTATTTTAGGCACCCAGTGGGTGTACCTCAAACTGCAGTGTGGGAAACACAGGGAAAGACAGGGGAGTTCTCTCCTGCCTTTGGTGAACTGTTCCGCTGAATGGTGATGGTGGTGAAGAAGTAAGGTGCTCTGGACTAGGCAGGTCACGCTGCCCAGGGAGAGAAACAGGAGACATGGGACCTGTGAGGAGGCGAAGCTGAGAAGACCTGGCCACGGACTGGTCAGGAGAAGTGAGGGAGAGGAAGAAACACCCAGGAAGCTCAGTGTTCAGGCTGGTGAACTCTTGAGTATGTCTTAGTCAAGTTACTGACTTTCATATTTTTACACAGTTTACACACAGATAATCATCCTTGGGTACCATGTTTCTTTATCACAACACACTGCTGGACAATCGCTAAGACTGTATTCAGGACATCTGCTTATCTATAGACAAATGAACATGGCCTGCATTTACGTTGAAGGTAAGTTATCTTTGATTTCTACGTTGGGGTCTCCTTTACCTCATAGGATGAACTGGGAATCTTTTTGTTGTAGTTGTTGAAGTTTTATTTTTTAAAAAGAAAACTTCAGTAATGTTGGAAGTCCTAATTCTCTAGCTGTTTATCTAGTCTCTCCGGAGGTAGAGAGCTCTCTTTTATTGGAGGAAGGAAGGGCTCTCTGGATTGACTTTCCCATGTCTTGTGGGTGTTGGTCTTGATGGCATTTCTACTTTGTGAAATGATTTTGGCAGTGGATTCTTTTGCACACACATATGCACATAATTGTGAGCACTGTGGTCTTTTACTGTTTAGATTCTGCTCCGTGATATTTTCACATTCCAGTTTTACCCCTGCTGTTCTTATCAGTCTTCCCTTCTTCCCTGGGATCACGGACTTGCTGAAGACTTCACTCGTCTTTTCTAGACAACAGTTTTCAAATGTTCATATGTTTTCTGCTTCAATCATGTCTCCTGTCTATATTAAGCCTGGGAATTTATAAAAGATATTATTTAATTATACTCTAGATTCTTGAGTTGTAATCACCCCTCATTTATTTTACATGTGCATTATGTTCTAATAAAGCTATCACTCCCAAGAGATTTCCCTTTCATTTTTTAAATATTGCACAGGTTTTAATTTCACCCCCAGTTTTGTCATTCCTTTTTAAGCAACTGCAAGTTTGCTTTTGATTTCCTTTATTGATAAATAAAGGTGTTCCAAGGCGGCTAGCAGGATGTGGTTTCAAATGAAGGAAGAGGCAGGACAATAAAGGCTGGGGAGAGGCCAGGCAAGGAGGGAAACACAAGGCTTCTGTGGTTGGTGTGTACACCATGGCATGTAGGGGTGAGAGGGACACGTTTGACACCAACCTTGTGTAATTAATTATATGGCTTTTCTCTGTGGGCTATTATATGTTTTTGGAAATATTTTATGAACACTTTCATGAGCACTTGAAATAATGAATATGTTTTGATGACAGATTCCTTATTATCTTTGTTATTCAAATCTTCCTAAATATTATTAGTTTTCTTTGTCTATATTTGAGGGAAAGTTCATGAATCCTAAGAGCAGTATTGGCTTAATAACATGTCCTTAATTTTTAATATGCTGGATAAATGACATTTTCTTCATATATAAAATTTATTTTTATGTAAGTAAAGTTACATAATTTTTGTATTTCCATCTGTGCTAGGTATATAAAAAGGGTTCATTAATTTTCTATCTTTTCACATTAAGATTTTTCTCATTGCTCTATAAAATAAAAAAGAATTTTCCTTTGACCTTTAAAATGATAAGAGAATCCATCCTTTTGTCACATAAAATGTTCCACTTTACACTTTTTTTAACTTTAGATTTTGTATTATCTGATATTTATAATAGTGTCCTCTTTCTTTGCTTTTTGCTTTATTTTTATTATAGTGCTACATATATTTTTGTTCATTTCTTATATTCAAACTTTATTAGAAATAACTTTATCATAATCAATATTAAAAGGATGAAATTACACTTGGTTTTAAAAATAATCTTTAAAGGTCTGTTCTTTAATAAAGCATGAACTCAACCACACTTTATAACTTACATTTTAAATTTGATTCCACTGTTGCTTGTGCTTTTTTATTTACCGTAATCTCTGCTCTTAATTCATTGGCCATTCTTTATTTTATTAAATTACCTGAGAGGTTAACCTGTGTCAGGACCTACTAGTAATTTGGAGAATCTGTTACACATTTTGTGTTGCTGACATATTTGAGCATTCTGTGTTAATGATTCCTGTCATTGTCACAAGCACACCTTACCTATCTGATACCTTTCATCTGCCACAAGCAGAGCCAAGGAGGCTACATGTCAGTATTTTCAAAGCAGGGACTTCTGAGGACCTGTGTGAATTCTCTAGACAGGACCCCAGCAGGCTGATCCAGAACTGGGCAGCCCATGTAACACCCAGCCTCTGTGTGAAGGCTGAACATGCGCTGCTGTTGGGACTTCCTGGGCCAAACGCTGGCCCTCAGCAGCTCTGGTGGACGACCCCCAGGTGCATCCTGATTGCCACCTGGAGGATCAGTGCTGCCTTCTTCCGTGACTGAGGACTTCCTCTTCCACAGCGGAGCTGCAGTTCAGTAGTCCATGTTAGTACCTGACTGTATCCTCCAACACACGGGGTGAGGCATTTGAGGGAAATCCTGCAGATCCTGTGCGCTCCAGTAGGGAATTCAGAGACCTGCTTCAGACCATTTCCCTGAGACCCAGTGCAGCTGAGCTCGGGTGCCACCCAGGAGTCCCTTATTCCCGTGCACTCTTGTTGGTGGTTCTGCCTTTCCTGGGTCATCGTACCTGCTACCTCACTCCTGCTTTCTGCATGTGGATTTGTGTCACCATTATAGGGTTCTAGATTAGGTTGCTGTGACATCAGTTGGGGACATCCTCCTTGAAATCACCACCTGATAGAGACATCTGCTCTGCCCTCTGCGTGGCAGCATTATTTATCACAAGCACTAGGTGGAAACAACAGAGGTGTCCACCCACAGACACTGGATAGAAGAACTGAGGATACCGTACAGTATTGCATTAATAATGGACATTACCTGGACTTAAAAAACAAGTGCCCCTGCCATTTGCAACACAGACGAACCTGAAGAGCACTATTCTAAGTGAACAAAAATAGATACTTAAAGGCAAATACTGAATGAGGCCACTTACATGTGGAATTTTTAAAAATTTGAGTACCTAGAGAGTGAAAATAGAAGTGGCTGCCGGAGTCGGAGGTGGTGGTGGAAACGGGAACATGTGGACCAAGGGAGCAAAGCTGCATATACAGAGGATGCACAGTCTAGAGACCCAGTGGATGATATGAGGACTGAAGTTACAGCACTGAGCCACAACCTGGCCATTGCCTAAGAGACAGAATTAAGGAGAAGAAGAAGGACAAGGAGGAGGAGGAGGAGAGGAAGGAATAAAGGCAATACATATAGGAGATGATGGGTATGTTAATTTGCTTGACTCAATTATTTATTTTATAAAGAGATATGGAAATCTCAAATATACACAATAAACTTTAAAACTTTTTTCAAAAAAAAAAACGCAACAAAAAAAATTTAAAATAAAAAAAAACAAAAGTAATGGCAACTAATAGTCAAAACCGTGTTCCAATTACAATTTGCCCTTGTTTTAACCAAATTTTAAAAAATGATATAAAAATTGCTCAGGAAGTTTATTAGTCTAGTCAGAACATATTTATTTGGTTGCTTTTATGTTCAAGTCCCTCTAACTCCAACAGTAAAACCTGTATTCTTGACTTCATGAAACCTACACTCCAAAGGGATCATGCACTTCTGCTTATTAGGAAACACATTTATTTAAAATGACATCAATGATGACATCAAGATGAATACAAGTGAAGTCAGGTGGAGGGATACTACAGAGAGCCAGGTTAAGTGGGGAAGTTATGAAATTATAGCTGAGGAGCTGATACTTAAATAGAGCTATGAAATTATTCAAAAAGATTTTTAAGTTATTTAAAAGTAATTCTTTATAGCTAACAATTATGTTTTTATTAAAGTGAGTGGATGGATTAGATGCTTTGACTCTCACTGTGCTGTATCAGTAAGCTTGATAGAGGATGGACAGACTTGAGCCATGGGAACATGAGGTTAAAAGAAAACAGTTCTATAAACGGGGCCACTGTGCTGATCCCCACATGCTATCTCCTGTAAAAAGTAATTTCCCTGCATCCCTGCCTGGCATAAGTTCACAGGTTATGACCGTTTTTCAGCCAAGTAGCTGTTTTCTTCAGAAGAAATGAAGGTCCAATAAAGTCACCTTGAAGTGTGCGTGTGCGTTGCAGGGAGCATGGCGAATCTGGAACTCAGGGAGATAGGGACAATTCCCTCTAACCATAAGATCTGGAAGGATGAGTCCCAGTGAGAACCCATCAACATGGGTCAACATGACCTAGTGTTGAGATGGCAGTGGGGACTTCAAAGTCTGATGTCATCCTGCTGACAGTCAGGCATCAAGAACTCTACCTGGAAACCTCCCTGGGCCCCCTCTCTCCTCCTAGAGGACCCACTCTCTCCTTCTCCCATCCCATCAATAAACACATGTCTGTAACTCGGAGTGACTTGTCCGAAATCCCCCGACTTGATCACAAAATCACAGTGGGATTTTGAGGGGAACTTTCATGCTGTCTCAGCTTTCTGGATGACCCCAGCCTTGTTACAAGCTTACCTGTCCCAGGTGACAGAATGTCTGCATCCTCGGAGGAGACTCAGACATACGCTCCTCAGAGCTCTTTGCCTCCACATTCCTTAGAGATAAAGTAGGACCATTTCTCTCTCATTTATTTTAACATGGTCAATGTACTTAACTAGGTCCATTTGCCCTAAATGAATAGACTGAGGATGGGAAACTAAAGTATCACAAGTGGTATATGTTTGAATTGAATGTCACAAAGAGAAAGCTGTATTATTAAAATGATGTAAGATATACTGACCTGTGGGACAAATAACAACGTGCACACACACACACACACACACACACACACACGTAATCGGACAACACCCCTGTGAAATAACACTAGTTATAACACTAGTTAACTTCTTTCTGGGTCTTGATTATCTGCATCTCTGAGGAGTCACAGCTCACTAGCTGCTGTGACAGATTCACAAAACATCTTAAAGGTTGCTAGCTGGCATTGTGTTGTACTTCAGTCTTTTCTACTGGTGTTGTTTGCTTATGAATGTTAAATACTGGTAATAAAACTCCTCATGGAACTTCATTTATATTAATTTTTTAAAGATATCAAGAACACTCAAGTATATTTTAAATAAGGTTAGATTTTCTAACTATTTATAAAAAAGCATTCATGTTTTATATTGTTGTTGAACACTGTGAGCAACAAACTCAGAAGAAAGGGAACAAGAGCAGCAGCTAGTATGTTAATCAATGAGTCACTATAACAACCATCACGACTGAGAAAATTAGGCCTACGTTTTATAAAACCTCAATAATCTCACTTAGTTTTAAAAAGAAATTGCATTCCTTGCATGGATTGCTGATATGTTTCACTTTTCCTCTTCAACTTTTAAAATCAAACGAATAAATATCAAAATAAGCAACTTCAAATAATACATATGGCATTTCCGTTGTTTTAACACTTTTAACAATACAAATCTTCAACATAATATTTTAAATCTGAAGTATAGCAAACGAGATACACTATTTTATATTGGGAATTTTTTTATGCAGTGTTGGGTGGGAACAGCTAATAAATACTCTCCATAATAACAGTTGACCTAGTTTTTCATTAGATAAGCCAATTTTACATACAAATGGACACTACCAACTTGAAGTTTTTGTATTGAGGCAGTTAAGAAGATAAAGTGACACAATTCATGTTATAAAACATAAATATCCTAAATAATTTCTAAATTTCTACTTTGCATTGTTAGAAACAAACATTTATGAAGTGGAATTGCAGTTTTTAGAGGAGAGAAGAAAGTGTAGATCTCTGCTTCTGGTTAGGCACTTTTTCCCAGTTGGCAGAAGAAAAAGAATCGGGTGAATTAAAAAAAAAAAAATCCTTTAATGACATCAGAGATCTTCTTAGGTAAATGGAGATCTTCTTAGGTAAATGGAGATCTGTATCTATCTTCCTCTTTGGGGCAATTTGCCACAGCTGGGCACAGATGGAGGGTCATCTCCCCGTGGTTACCAGGCTCAAGTGGAGAAGGCAATCATCGCAGTCTTTGACAGCTTTGACCTATTGGACTCTGTGAAGCCCAAGGAAGACAGCCAGGGGCTCTCGGTACTGGACAGGATGGGAGTCTGGAGACCTGGGTTGGCAAAAAAAAAAAAAAAAAAAAGTTAGAACTCATCCCTGCCTCAAAGGATTTGAAGACAACCATCTTCTTAGAATAAACCCACACATCTTTCCCACCAGATATTAGACACAGAGATGAACCAGTTCTAGTAGAAGCTACAGCCCATTTGTGACTCATCTCGATTCCCAGGGAAATGAAGGCAACCAATTACCAATTCTATCTTTCTGACAGATGAAAGGGAAGGCTCTCGCTGAGAGGAAATAGCATTCACTTAAATATCTGTGGCTCTTCTATTAACAGTATCCATCACAGATTCCCTGGAATTGACTTTCATTTTTGGTCCATTGTGCCATAGAACTTATTTTTATAATCTGAATACTTTTAACCTTATTGGTACCTGTTTTATGGCCCGAAATATATGTTCTAGCTTGGTAAATGTTCCATGTGCATTTAAAAATAATGACTATTTTGCCATTTTATGGCAAATTTTTCTATCATTAGATCAACTTGGTCAGATAGTGTTATTTCAATTGTCTACACCCATTTTCTGTCTACATTTTACTGACAGAAATATATTGAAATATCTGACTATAACTGGAATAGACTATTTCTCCTTACCGAAGCAGAGATAACTTCTTACAAAAATGGAGTTAATCTGGTGCCTTTGGATTAAAATAAGAACAGAAGTACAGATATGATATAGGCAGTATTTATTCTGAAAATGATATTTTTAAATCTTCTAAAATAATTTTTTGTGTTAAATATTTTACTGATTAATTTTTGCATGCTAGGAAAGTGTGCTACTATGTTCAACATTACAGTTGCTTTACGGTTTTTAAACAAAATTTTAGTTCAATTCCAAATTCAGATTTGGAATTTCATAGCAGTTGTAGCTCCTGGCCTGCAGTATTCAGGACAATTGGCCAAAAGAGAGGCTTGATGACTCTGGGTATTTTGTTACCTACTTCGTTTACTGTTGATAATTCTGAAATAAGATTTTAACCTTTTATTTAGATTACAAAATACGATGTTATTGGTCGTGTCTACCAAAAAGACACATTGAATATTAATCCCTAACACTTGTAAAGCTTATTCTGTTTGGAAATGAGATATTCGAAGATTAGTTAGCTTTTCATTGCTATGATCGAAATACCTGATTAAAAACAACCTAAAGTGTATCTTGGCTCACAGCTTCAGAAATTCAGCCCATAGTCAGCCGATTCCATGGCTTTGGACCCAACGCAAGGCAGAAGGTCATGGTGAAGGGCATAAGGAGAAGTGCTGCCCCACTCGAGGCGATCAGGAAGCAGAGAGAGAGGAGAATCAACCACAGGGAAGGTGCCCCCTTCCAGGGCACACCCCAGCAACCCACCTCCTCATTATCGGAACAATTCACCTCTGAATTTCCTGCATTGACACAGGAGCTTTTGGGGGAAAATCTCATTATCTAAACCATATCAAAGATGTAATTAGATGAGGTCATACTGAGTTAGGTGGGTTCTATGGCTGGTGCCTTTGTAAGGACGGGAGATACGACACAGACACAGACAAAAGGTGGCTATGTGAACACACAGGCAGAAATTGGAGTGATGTCACAAGACAAGGAACACTTGGAGTCACCAGGTGACTGGAAGAGACAAGGAAGGATGCTCCACAGGAGACTCCAGAGGGAGGGTGGTCATGCTGCCATCATGATTTCAGATTCCAGAACCATGAGAGGATACATTTCCATTCTTTCAAGCCCGTAAGATTACGGTACTTCTTTGAGGCAGATCTAGGAAGAAATATACACAGAGAATCCAGAATGTGTCCTTGGCTAAGTGCATGACAGGATGACCTTGAACACAGAGACTCACACTTGCTTTCACTGGGATGTACCTAAAATCCACATCTTCATTCTAATGTGCTCAGTTCCCTTAAAAATTCTTCTCTGCCAAAGATGTGTTGAAATGGCATTTGCTTTTTTCCCTCTTGTTCCTATATTTAGTAAGAACTAAGTGAATGTTAATGAATAAAATTTGTATCACTTTTTCTATTTTTCCATAGGTTGGAAATCAATGGATCATTTATAGGCAAATCTCCACACATCCTTACAGTGAATCCTGACTATGCAGAAATACTTATTCAGAGATGCACAGAACAAGTGAAATTGAGAACAATACACAGCATGGCTTTCTGAACTTGGGACTAGAAGCTGCACATTTCCTCTTGTGTTGCATTCAAATAAAAATATCATGGGCTTTCTAATAGATGGTCATTGTGATGCATATCTGTGCATTTTTAGTGGTGGGTTAGTTGCAGTCTCCTGTGTGGTGAAATTTATAGCATAAGCAATAAATAAAGTGTCAGAGGTCAGGCAATGTCTTGCAGACTGAATTACATGTCCTTTACAGATCAGTGGACACCATTCCCCCATTTATCAACTCTCTGGATGATGCTGTCTTTCCACACACTCCACACGGCCAACAGGGATGACCCTTTCAACTTCAGTGAAAATTGCCTTACTCCTTACACCAAAGTGGGTCAGGTGGGCCATTTAGTAAAAGTGGCAGAGAATGACTAACAATACTTGTAGAATTTCAAAGTGCATGGAACAGAAGTGGAATGGATGAACCCACACGTCGAGAACCATCCCTTCTCCTGCTTCTGCATTTCCATGAATTCCTGACTATAACCCTCCACAGTCTGAGGAAAACTTTCTTTAATTTCCCAATTTTTTTTCTGTATCTTTATTTCTACTTTTGCAGTGCCAAGTACCTCCACAATCTTATACTCACACACATATTCAATGGTATGATTTTTTAAAGAGTGAATCACATTATGTGTACATTTAAAACATGAAGATAAAACCAGACCTTGAGAAGAATTGAGAAAGACAAGATGGGAAGAGATAAGGGAGGTGAAGGAAGAGAGTGGGGGAGAAGGTGTGCTGAGTAAATCTATAAATAGAACCTAATGTTCTTTACCCCAGCTTCTCTGCAAAAAAAAATCTCCTGGTGCATTAGTCAGAGTCCCATCACTGTGACAAAATGACTTAAAAAATCAACGCTTAAGGAATACGTATTTTGGGGAGAAGATTGTTACGGAGGTTTCAGTCCATGGTTGTTTGGGCCATGGTTTCTGAGCCTGTGATGGGGCAGAACATGATGAGGGGAACACGTGGGGGAGAAAGATGCTCCTCACATGGCAACTACGAAATGAAAGAGACAGGAAGTGGCCAGGGTGCCCCTGTCTTCTTCAAGGTCACCCCCCAGTAATGTGACAGGCTGAGAACCAACACTTTGATACATGGCCCCCGAGGGCACTTCAGAACAAGTGAGAGTACCTGGGGATGTTTTGTTTTCCTTTTTTCTTTGCTTTATTGTAAAGATTATTTTTTAATAACAGCAATTTTAGATGCACAACAAAATTGGGCAGAGTTCTCATTTAGCTCTGCTTCCATATATAGACAGCCTCCTCATTATCAGAATTCTCCCAAACATGTTATATCTGTTAGCTCTGATAAACCTGCAATGATAATCATCATCGACAAAATCCATATCACCTTAGGATTCACTCTTGATGTTGCACACTCTTAAGGATGTCATAACAGGCATCTACCGTTACAGTATCGGGCAGAGTGTCTCTCCCTAAAATCCTGGGTGTTTCCCGTATCTGTCACTTCTCTCACTCCAAACGCCGCATGGCTACTGACATTTTTACTGTCTCCACAGCTTTCCCTTTTCCAAAGTGGCATATTATTGAAATCATGCAGAATATGTAGACTCTTCATCGTGGCTTCTTTTAAATGTAGTAGTATGCATTTAGGTTTCCTCTATGTCTTTTAAGGAATTGAAAATTCAGCTATTCCACTGTTTGGACTCACCCCTTTGTCCATTCATAACCGAAGGACACCCTGGTCACTTACAAGTTCTGGAAACTATAAATAAAGCTATTATAAACGTTTATACACAGACCGTTTTAATCAGCTTTTTTATTGTTGTGACCAAAAGACTTGAGAAGAACCATTAGAAGAGGAAAAGTTTAACTGGGGGCTCATGGTTTCAGAGGTCTCAGTTCACAGAAGCCTGGCTTCCTTCACCGGGTCTCCAGATGAGGCAGGACATCATGACAAAGTATGTGGTGGAGGAATTGCTCAGGACATTGCACCGAGAAGCAAAGAGAGAGTTGCCCTCAGCAAGGACAAAATACCTCCCTCAGCGGCACGCTCCCTTGGACGTACCTCCTCCAGCCTCATGCTGCCTGCTTATGGTTCCTATCCACTTAATCCATATCAGGGAATCAATTTGGTGATTAAGTTAAAGATCTCGTAACCCAGTTATTTCATTTCTAAACTTTCTTGCATTGTCTCTCACATGAGCAGGATGAACTCTCACATGAGCATGTCTCCCACTGAACAGGATGCACACACACGAAGCCGGCAACGTGGGAAGAGGGAGGGTGCAGATAACAGCTCTGCAGATGACAGGGAGCAGGAGGGATGAGTTCTGAAGACCCAAATCTAGATTGCATGTAGTGGAATTCTCTGCTGTTATCACAACAGTTGGGTAAACCATCACTTTTTGAATAAATAGTTTATTGAGGATCCCAGAGTGAAGTTTTGGGCATACATTCCCCATGGTTTATTCTGTTAGATAAACAGATATGCTCTTAGTATAATCTTATCATATGAGAAAGGAAATGATCTAGTGTATTGCCATTCTTCAGTTATTGTGATTTGGCAAAGAGAGATGGGTATCATAATGAAAAATCAGTTACAGTTTTTTTTTTAAAAAAACAAACAATAAATCACAGATTTATCCTCATTGGCAAGACCTGTGAGGTTAAAGTCTCTTGTTTTGTTTTGCTTTAATGTGAGTTTGCCAAGCAAATGATCAACTTCACAGCCTCCTTTCTTCTCCAGAGGTTTCAAGAGTAGCTCACCCAAAGCGAGTTTGCCCACACTGGCTAAAGGTAAGAATGCCTTGAGAGAGGAACGGCAAGAAGCAGTCCCTGTCCCCAAAATGGGAGACTTTCTGCAGTGACCATGATGGTAAAGCAGCAGTGAGGAGACTGAGAAAGAGAACAGCCAGAGAGGCAGCAGCCAGGACACAGGAATTGTGGACCATCAAGGGGGGACTTTTGGAACTGCCTCAGGTGCTGCCCAGAGGTCAGAGGATCCTATTCATGGCATCTGTCATAAGCCATGTCCCCTACTGGGGAAGACCTGCATCTTATTTGGTGGAAAAAAAAACAGGTCATCTGGGCTTGCTTTTTGGGGGTCTGATACTAAAATCTAGGACTATTTTAAACAGCCTGATATATTATTGGATTGCTTTGCTTAGAAGACACAGAACCAATGAACAGACTCCCTGTCAATTAATGGAATTCAGCTATTATTGACCTTTCTCTAGTAATTTTGAAGTTTGAGAGAGTGTTCCACAGCATAAAAGGTATAATAGTATACAGAAAACTCATTACATATAAAAAGAATTATCAACAAGTGAGAAACTTATGATGGAGTATTATATATTAATATATTAATTTTCATGTATATTAATATATGTATTAATATTTAAATTACATAGTACATAGTACGTGTATTGATATATAATCATTTATAATATTCAATCCTTGAACATAATTTAATTCTGATTTGACTATGTATCATAATTTTGAAGTAGGAATGAATGTAAAAAGTATTTGGAAACAACCTCCTTTCAGGGCCCAACAGAAGCCTTCACTTCTCACACCATGAGGTTCTCCACTCTTCTGCCTGCCTTGGAGTCTTTGCCAAAACACAAGTGGTGGTGGCCGACCTCCTTGCTCCAGAGAGCTCTATATAAACAGTGGTGGCTTATTCCAAAACAAAAACAAAAACAAAACCAGAATGTCTGAGACCACTATGGCAATGCGAAGGTACCTGTGATATCTAATCATTATGATGATACAAGTACCGCTAATGACACAGGGCCACTGAAAGGTTCTGAACTTCATGAAAACACAGTTTACATATCTACAAGAAACACAGTCTTAACCACAAACACTTACATTTTATTGAAATTATGTCTTTTCTTATCCTTTTTTCCCAAAATATTTTCAAAACAATCTCTACCTATCTTATTATAAAATGTGCAAAGATTATGGGTTTGAAGCTTGAAGAATTTTTCATGCGAAATTAAATGTAGCAGGGTTGAAAGTACATGCTTAACAAGAAAGAGGTACTGGATTCAATACCCAGCACTAAAAAGTAAACCAACCATTTTCATTCAATCAAGACACCCATTTTTTTTTCCAAGAAAATAAAAAAAAAAAAAACTGAGAACATTACTAGAGCCCTGGAGGCCTTCATTTGTGCCCTGTCTGGTTATCAACACACTAGTGGTAAATTCCTGACTCCGTGCTTTAGATAACTTTGACTGTCTTTGTACTGTACATGAATGGATTCTAATATATACTCTTTCTACCTAACTTTTGTTTACAATTATGGCGAGAAGACAATGTTGATTATAGGTGTATTTTTAAAAGTCATTACTGTGTAGTATTCCATCACATAAAATATAATGTATTTATTTATCCACTTTCATGCTGGTGAACAGTGGATTCATATGTCACTTTTCGTAGACATGGTTCCTATTTGTTTGATCATATATCTAGTAGTCAATTTATAGAGCATAGGAATTAGTATTTAGATTTAGAAAATGACTCATGAATTCTAACCACTTTTTCATGCTATCAAAAATTTCTCATCTTCTTTGATAAAATGTGGGGTTGTTACTTATTGGCCTCTTGGGCATTTACTTATTAACTTCTAGCAGTTCTTCATGACTCTTTCTTGGGACATCTGTAATCAGGGTATCAAGCTCCTCAGCTGAGGCAGCTTTTCCTTTGACTCTTTTAACGATGTTTTTGACATGAAGTTAATGTTAAAGCAGCCCCATTTACTGATTTTCCCTGTGGTGAGAAGTGTGTGCACCTTGTTTATGAAGTCTTACAATCTCACTCCCAAGATTTCTGTGCTCATAGGCAATGCCACACGAAAGCTTTAGCAAGTGGAAGGGATTCCTTCCCTGAGAAGGGCTGCCCCACACTCCCCCTCCCCTGGATGTGACACGATTTGAAACCTTCCAAAATAAATGATCACGAGACTTAATTCATCCTGCCCTTTACTTCTAGTCTACATTTATCCTTTACATCCCCTCTTTTTGGAAAGCTGATGATTATAATTAATATGGGAAAATGTTGGGAAGAATGGAGAAAAGGGACTG